CCGCTGCTTATATCCCATTGACTTCGCCTAACCGTGAAGCTGGATTCATACGAGCACCCGCCTCCCCTCACCCACTCGCCGCGCGAATCCACCGCAGCGAGCACTCCCATCACCACGCCTGTTGACCACCCCTCGTCGCCGCACTTTGGTCGTGTCAACAAGAACTCCCCCGCCACCCTCGTCAACCTCTGGCACCGCAAGCCCCACGAGCTTGCCGCTAGCCGCCAACCAGACGAGGACGTCTTGTTCGAGGACGCGGGCGACTGCAGTTTCTCGCTCTTCCCGCAAGAGCCTCAAGTTCACGCCGGCTTCGCAGACATGGCCACTGCCTCGCCCATTGACATCCAGACGCCCCCGCGCTATGGCTCAAACTCTCCCCCAAACCAGACCTCCAACCTCACCTCTGCCCTCAAGCAGGCAGAGGCCCAGCCAGACCTCGCCACCACTCCAGGTTTGCTGAATCCTAACAACTTCGACTTCAACCACAATGCCCGTCCCAGCATCAGCGAGCGCCACCCCTCCATCAGCATGCTCGGCTCTTCCTTTTACGGAAACAGCGGCGCCAGGCCCATTACCATGAAGGATCGCGGGCGTCGCGAGAGCACAAACATGGGCAGCTTCGCCGGCGGCATGAGCTGGGGCGGCCACTCGGTCGGCTCGTGGATTCGCGATGAGTAAGTTACCCCCACCCACTTTCGGGCCGCCACAACAAAACCCGACTAACACGTTTTACCCAGCATCATGATGGGCACTTCACCCGCACCTTTTGCCAACAACTCGCCTTCGTTCCACTCGTCGTCATATCTGCCCAAGATGGAAGCCGCCTTTATGAAGGATTTTACTTGCTGTGGCCTCACCCTGGCCTCGCTGCACGATCTGCTGCAGCACTTTGAGGAGACTCACGCAAACGCGCCTGCCGCCCGCCCCCAACAGCCCCCCACAAATGGCTTCACCTCTGCATCGGGTGCGCCAACAAACTCGATCGCGCCCAGCCAGACTCAGGGCGATGCACCCTTCAACACCCAAAATGGCTTCCAACAAAGATCGGGCTCAGTTGGCGCCCACCGCCCACGGATAGGCTCCGTCAGCCGCTCCAACCTGTCCACTGTACAGGATATGGATTCGCTAGACGACATGGATATGGACGACATCAATTTTGACACACTGGGCTCCATTGACGAGCAGCAGCAGCAACAACAGCAGCAGCAGCCGATGCAACAATTCCCAGTCCAAAATCAGTTCAACCAGAACCAAAACCAACCGTCAAATCTCAACGTCAACGTCAACATGGCCAACAACATGCAAAGCCACCAAGGCATGCGAACATCATCACCAAACACGCCCTCGGCCTCGCAGCAATTTAACCTCCAGAATAACCCCACCGTGTCTTCGGTCAACACGCCAACAATGGGTACTATGCCCATGGCAAACCACAACTTGACCTCGCCAGAATCCTCACACCCCGGCACTCCAGCCGAGCTTGACATGGATTTTGGCGGCTTCAACCCAATGATGGGAATGGACATGGGAATGCCCATGGGCATGAACTTTAACGGAAATGGCAATGGTAACTTTGGCATGGCCGCTTTTGACAACAACGGCACAATCGACCAGCCAGGCAAGCGTCTGTTCAGCAAGCAGGGCGGTGGTCTCAACCAAGCACAGCTGCAAGCAGCCCTCAAGAACTACCAGCTCAGCGGAAATGACCAGAGCGAAATGGCCAGGCGGCTACGGGAACAGCAGCTTCTCAACGGTGCCAGCATCCCCCAATTCCCATTCCCCGAAGAGGTCAAGCCATTCCGATGCCCAGTCATTGGATGCGAAAAGGCGTACAAGAATCAAAACGGTCTCAAGTACCACAAGCAGCACGGCCACCAGAACCAGCAGCTCAAGGAGAACGACGACGGCACATTTTCCATTGTCGATCCCCTTACCTCGATCCCCTACCCCGGCACAGTGGGCATGGAGAAGGAAAAGCCATATCGCTGTGAAGTCTGTGGCAAGCGGTACAAGAACCTCAACGGTCTCAAATACCACCGCTCCCACGCACCCCACTGCAACCCCGAGCTGGCCATGCAGAAGCTTGGCCTTACTGGAAACCTTCAGAATCTGCAGAATGCCAACGTTGCGGGTGTTGGAATGGGTGGCATAGACCCTTCCATGTTCTAAACCACACATGCCTTGAACTTTTCCTCTACTTCTCTTAATACCCATTTTCTATCATCCAAGACGAAAAGGTCACGACTGGTTTCTCACCTCTTCGTCATCTGCATCTCCTGGCGTTTCTCAGATTGGGAGAATCTTTTCATTCTCATCTCCTACCCAAGCCAGCCAGCCCTGGTGTTTGGATACGAAAAAAAAAAATGCCCGCCGGCCCGCCACATGTTTTGATTCATGTACATACATCTCTCGAGAGGTGCATCTTCCTTTACCAGCACGCCACGCCTGGTATCACGATTTGATGCTCATTACCAGAGGTGAATGAGAGTGGCCATGTCCTTTTTATTTGTTTTACGCGGAATATATCCCCTGGGTCATCATTGTCTTTTCTGTTTGTCTCCGACTCCTCTAGACATTGGGTCTTTGTAACAATGGGCGTTTAAATCGCAGTCACAAAAAGTTATCAAAACAGGTCTACGCTTATGCGCTGTGTTTTTATTTGTTTTCTTTCAGTATGATATAGTTATAGACTTGATGGATTTTCTTGTCAGTCAGAGTCAGTCAATCAGTCAGTCAACAATGGGGGTTTTCAAGAGGGATCTCTATAATACTACGCTCTACATACTCTCTACCTCGATCCAATTTGTCTTAGGCATCTCCCGTCTCATCACTCACCATCATCGCCTTCTGACCGCCGTTTCGACACACAGACAACAGACCAAGTAAGCAATGGAATGGAGAAAGTTCATCCCACGTATCAACACGTTGCTGTTACAAGTTACAAGGTTCCTCCATGTTCACTCGAGGGACCACGAGTCCTTTTCGGCCAGGGTGGCGTTACGGCCGTTAGGCCAAGAGTCGGCAATCGAAAAACATCAACAACAAAACGAGAGCTAGCACAGCTGCTCAGCTAGTCGACGAGACACGAAACACACGTGCGTTCTTACTGACTAACAGTATGCCCGACTGGGAGCAATCAAAGCCCACAAATGTATTTGTGTCCATAGCGCACATGCGCCTTGCCCGCGCCCAGGGTCCTTTAAGCGGCACGTCCACGCACGCACGTACGCACGCACATGTATGCAATACCGCACGTGTGTCTATGACTCGCCTCATGTCTGGCCTGCCAAGACACGACTTCATGTTACCTCCCCACGCTACTGTTACTAGACTGCCCGTCGCAATAGCCGCCGGCGGGCTGGACGGCCTGCATGACATGCATTTTGTGCGCCCCAACTGCCTGTTTGGGTATGATGGCTGTCACGTGTGATGGTTTTGGTGGCCCTTTGTGTTTGGATGTGGTTTTCTTGGCCGTCTTTGGCCGAGACTATGGCCGACGAGTCAAGTGTTTAGGGAACGGCTGGAGAAGGGTTAAGCACGGGAAATAGACGGCTAGAATGTAGTAGATGGGGGAGATTTGAAATGGGAGATTTGGTGGCGAATGTGATTGTTTTGCGGGTTAAGGGAAGGGTCAAAGGTACCGAGGCTGCGGGTCAGGGTACACGGAATATGTCCATGAGGGTTTCGCCAAATATTTGGATGAAAAAAAAGGGTCGTGAGTAGAAGGGTCCACATGTAAGATGGATAAAATAATTATGGATAACTACATCTTTTTTTGGATGAAAACATAATAGTTTAACTCGCCCTTGAAACACGGGCCTTTTCTTACATCTCCTTCTTCTCAAATTCTCACATGCACCAATGTAAACCCACAACAAAGTGTGTAACACAAACACAGAAACACCCCCGAAAACCAACCCGATACTACCCATCCTGTTTTCCCACATCTCTCCAATCTCTCTGAACCCCTGGCTATACACAGTCACACATATAATGTCATGCACGCAATTATCCCACTATGCAAGGATCCCAACCAAGCCACGTGCGCCTGCAGCGCTACGTGCGGGAACGTAGAAAAATAGAGGACGCTTTTTTTTATTCCTTTTGCGTCAGGGATGACGTTCGGAGAGACAGGACACTCATCTTTTGTGCGCACGAGATTTGGAGTAACAGATATGGTAGAGTAGGTGTAGGTGTTTGGCTGTTGTGGGCTTCTCCTTCCTTTCTTTCTTTCCTCCACACAAGACCCAAGATCCCCCTCATCTAACCCCATCACCCCTCCATCACTCCACCAAATCATGTTTTAACCGTCATTTCCGTGTCTCATTCTTGAAATCTTGATCGCGAGTCCAAATCGTCTGGTCGCATAGTCCTGTTTCTTGCTTTCTTGCTTGGGCATCCTTGCATACTCGCAATCCTCACCCTAATCTACGTTCCCTACCTCATCATCTCAATATCATCTAGATATATTTCCTGCATCCATCTCTTCTCTATCCAATCACCGCTATCTCGCAAAGCCACGCAGCCACTGCCTACAAGCCGGATACGCTTCATCCCGCTCCGCTCACATCCTTCCTTCCCTGTTCCCCGCCCCCGCCCCCGCCCCCGCCCCCGCCAGCCACCGCGCACCCGAACGAGACATCCCTTTGGTATACACTTGTAATCACCAACGGAAACCATCCAGATTTCGCAAATCGCATGCGCCGTGCGCTTATGCAATGCATCGTCAGCCGTTTCACTACGCCACCTGGAGAAGATCGAGATAGGAAAGCGCAAGGGATGAGACAAAAGTAATCGATCTCGGGTCTGATCCGGCCTAGTACCAGTGCCACGAACGTCGTTTCCTTGGCTCTTGCGCTGATAAAGCTTTTGGCAACTTGGCCTCTCCAACCTTGTGTTTTCGTGCTCTAAAGATATATATGAGGTGTACATTCTGGGGATTGCAGTACTACATCTGACCCCACACGCTTCCCCGCTTTTTGTCGTATCTTCCACCGCAAATGGCTACGTACGGTACGTTTGGTGGGGACGCGGAACGCCATCCCGTGCCTAGATCTGAGGCTCCATGGGAGAAGCTAAAGGCCGAGTCATATTCCCTTTTCCTGAAGCTGAGCGAGTTGCCAAAGGGGACATATGATGAGTTTGAAGCTTCGTGGGCGGACAAAGAGAATGGCGAGTTCAAGGGTGGGTTGGGTGCGGTGATTGTGGTGAGGTACAGTGAGACGCCTGTTGGTATGTTGATTTCTTTTTCATCCTAAAGTATATGGTCCCAAAAGCCATCGTATTCGTAAGAGTAGGGGATCGGATCTGCAAACATGTACACAACCCCACACCCAACTCATTCTAACCATCCCCCTCCAGGCCCATACGACGAAATCATCTTCGTCCCTGGTAACTTCACCACGCCTCTCCCCCCAAACCCCTCCTCCCTCCCTGCAAAAGCCCTCCGCATATCCCGCATCTACGTCTCCCAACGCACCACCACCTACAACGGCCGCCTAAACTGGAACATCCCCAAACACCTCGCCCGCTTCTCCTTCTCGTCTCCCCCAACTCCTGCCGGCGCGTCCCCTCCCCCCTCTCTCACCGTAAAAGTCTATCCGCCTTCCTCCATTGAAGGCGACTCCACCCCACCTTTCTTCGCCTGCACCCTCACACCCTGGAAATGGATTCCCGCCTTGCCGGTAAACACAAAGTACATTCCTCTCAGTTTGGCTCTTGTTCAACCACCTGTCCCCGAACCAGCGGGACATAAGGAGGCGGTTAAGAAGGTGTTAGAGGGGGAGACGGTGGATCCGTATGATATTCGTGATGCGGAGAAAACGCTTGCGGTGCTGCCAGGGACGGATAAGTGGAAGGAGTTTGATATCTCGGCGAGGAGTCCGAGGGCGAGGGGATGTTGGGTGCAGGTTCATGAGCCGGAGGAGGAGGAAGGGGAGGGGAAAGTGTTTTTTCCGAAGAACTTGGGAGCTTGGAGCTTTGGAGGGTGGATGGAGGATGTGGAGTGGTCGATTGGGGGGGTTACAGAGTGGACGGTTGAAAAGGCGGGGACTTGAGGGACTTGAGGGTGTTGCTGGAATGATGGGCATATGAGAAAGCAGCAAAATCCCCCAGTTTTTTCCAGGCGTCATCAAGGTTAATATTTCGATATATTGATATATTGCTACGTGAAATCATTGTATCCAGAACAATCACCTCTTGTTTTTATTTTATTTTTTGCCCATTGCCATTATTTTACTCCCGGCATGCCTAGGAATTCGTAGCTCAAAATCACATCACGATTGAAAACCCTGTGCCCACCAGACCATGTTGCCGCAGCGCTCACCCAAACATTCTTGCAAAAAAAGCCTAGAGCAAAGCGAGGGGTCCTTCTTCAGGTTGCTCCGGAGCCCCCCGGTGCTCGCGGGGGCTCCCTTAACTCCCACATCCCACATTCAATCCATTCTGAACCATGAACCTCGCCGTTTTTTTTTGGAAATTTGTTGTTGTTGTTGTTGTTGTTGTTGTTGTTAAAAAAAACAGCGTCGCCTTCTTTGTAACACTGGGTCACAGGAGTGCGTGTTACCAAGGGTCAGCTCAGGACAAATTCGCTAGTAAGGGCGAAGAAAGAGAGAGAGAGAGTGTGTGTGTGGTAAATTCAGGATGAACTCACACAACCTTTGACTTTTTCCAACCAAAAACAATCTTTATCGCCCCCTCCCAAACGACCCCATTTGCAGTTACACAGGAGTTTTTGTGGGGCGAGAGATGGCGCGCGCGATGAGTTGGGGTTATTGCAAGGGGTGAGAGAGAGAGAAAGGGGTTTCATGATGGTGGCGAGATCGTGAAGAGCATATAGGGGGGGGGGGGGAGAAAGGTGCGGTGGGTGTGAAGCGGACTGGAGAAAATCTCATGTCAGCATGAATGTCAAGCAGAGGATGAAGGTTTTGAGTGCCCCCTTTTTTTTTCCCCGCCTCATCACAGCATCCCGAATTATTATGTTTAGGGCTGGTTAAAAGATTTTGGTACCTGAGGGGTTGAGGTTTGTGAGCTATTATAGGAGGAGAGGCATGGCTGATGAAGTATGCGTTCACTTGTGTTGGGATTAGTTTGGTGAGATAGTGATTGGAGATATGGTGTAGATTGTAAATTAGGCAGGATAAGTACTCTAGAGCTAAAGGCGTGCGGTTTTTTTGTTACTAAAGAGCGTTTTTGTTTTCCGGCTGTCTTACTTATTATGACTTGACTTTTTTTTCCTTCCTCTGATTGCTATACCGCGTATCAGATCAATTATCTCAGAAAAGAATGGCAGGCCACACCCCAACTTAGTTGATGTTATTAGAGCCAAATATAATTGTGACGGGGTGTACATGTTTTGCATGCTACTCATTACTATCTCGTAAGGCTACTCATGACTCCATCCCGACGATTGATTACTACGTTAAAATTTCGTAAGCGCCATGAGATGTACCTGCATAGAACCCGACAAAAATCTTTGCAAAGGGCCTTGGTATGCCCTAGGATTTGGCCGAGAATAGTTAGGAGTCATGTCTACGGCGCATTCATCACTCTATACGGATATCCAGGGATTATTTAACCTTTGCAAGGGTAATTGAGATCCACATGCTTATACTCGTATTGGAATGCTTTTCGAAGTGCAGAAAGAAATTAGAGTACTCCGATCCGGATACTCTGAACTCCGCATCTCACTCCGAAAATATTATTTCCGGAATACGTCAAGCCAATTCAACTCACCGCCAATATCCAGTCGAGTCTTGGTCTTCGGCATCTACGGCGAATCATGGCCCGGTTGGTAAGAACATGGCGGAAAACCCTTCGTCGGTAGCGGGCGATACCGCATCGAGAGAAATAGACGAAGCCGCCAAGTGGGTCGTTTGGTCATAGCCGTCATCCCCTCCACTCTTCCCTGTCCTACTTATACCTCTGGGCTTTCTTCTCTGTTCTACACAAAAAGACTGGAGAACTATAATTGCGACTCAATCAACGGCCCGTGTTACCGACTGGGAGGTACTTACGGGTACAAGTGGACGCACCTCGGGGACTGTGCAGGAGCTCTTTTCAAACCTTATTCACGCGCACGTGCATTGCGCACATTCTCATCACACGCCATTCATCCTTGTTCCAATATCACCTCAGCATCGCGTATGAGCAGCGAACCCAAAGGCAGCACGCCAGGATCAATCAGCCCGCTCAACCCTCTAGCTCGAGTCAACACCTATCCTCAAGCAGAGTTCACCATTCCGCCTTTGGACACGCTATCACCATGCCCAAGTGCCCCAACTCAAACCGCCAATGCCCCGGCATCAGCCATCTCCAAGGAGAGTCACCCAAACAGCACTGCAACTGGATATGAAAAGCCTCGCCAGCCTCGTGATGAGGAAACCCGATCCATCACCTCAACTGCTCATACTGAGGTGACTTACCCAGAAGGCGGCCTAGGCGCCTGGTCCGTTGTCCTCGGATCCTTTCTAGGCCTCATTGCCTCGTTGGGTATGATGAACACGGTCGGCATCTACCATGCCTACATTGCCGAGCACTACCTGCAAGACTACAGCGAGTCGACCATTTCGTGGATCTTCAGCATTTACGTGTTTCTGTCCTTCTTCTGTGGACTGCAGATCGGCCCCATTTTTGACGCCCATGGTCCGCGGCTCCTAGTGCTAGCTGGCAGCATCTTGCTGTGTCTGTCAAACTTTCTCCTCGGCATATGCACCTTGTACTGGCACTTCTTCCTAGTCTTTGGTGTCCTTGGGGGCCTGGGCACGTCGCTGATCTTTACTCCTGCTTTTGCAGCAATCAGTCACTTCTTTCTTCAGAAGCGAGGCAATGCAACTGGTATTGCTGCAGCTGGAGGGTCACTGGGTGGCGTCATCTTTCCACTAGCTTTGGAGAGGCTGCTACCTACAGTGGGGTTCCCATGGGCTACTCGCATCGTTGCTTTCATCATGCTCTTCTGCTGTATCGGTGCCTGCATCCTCATCCGCTCGCGACTGCCGCCAAAGCCTGGTCAGTCGGTGTGGCCCGATTTTAGAATCTTCAGCCACAGGAGCTACTTTCTTCTCACCGTAGGCATCTTCATGATGGAATGGGCGCTCTTCATTCCAATCACGTACCTCACCACCTTTGCGGTGAGTACTGGTGCGTTCAGCCCGTCCTTTTCGTACCAGCTGGCCGCCATTTTCAACGCAGGAAGCTGCATTGGTCGCTGGCTTCCGGGCTTGCTGGCCGACAAGTTGGGCCGATTTAACAGCATGATTGCTGCATTGGCAGTTTGCTCTGCCACATCGTTGGTATTCTGGCTCCCAGCATCGCTCCTTACGCCCACTACTGAATCTGCAGCTGCGGCCATCAAAGGTCTGTCAATCGTCTATGCTGTCTTATTCGGATTTGCCTCTGGTTCCAACATCTCCTTGACACCAGTATGCGTGGGCCAGCTCTGCGATACGAATGTCTACGGGCGGTATTACGCTACCTGCTATACTGTCGTGAGCTTCAGCACCCTCACCGGCATACCCATTGCGGGAGCAATCATCCAGACTACTGGCGGACACTACTGGGGCGTTGTAATCTGGACTGCGGTCTGTTACATTATGGCTTCGCTCTGCTTCGTGTGGAGTCGAGCTTTGCAGGTGGGCTGGAAGCTGGGGGTGAAATTTTAAGAGATTACCCACCCCTAGTGCACTTACTAGAAAGACAGCTGAATGTGCAGCAATTCTAGCAAGCGACCTACTAAACTACGCACTATGGCGTGCATGATTCCCTGGTGTTGTGGAGGACTAAATTGTTATCGAATAAGAGGAGTTGGAGAGACAGAGAGGAGGGCGGATACAAATTGAAATAGGTGGTCTAGTTTCCCGGTACGCGAAGTTTAATCGCGTTACTATTACACTCGTTTTTTTGCCCAATATCGCTAGATGCGGCACGTTCCTTTAGGACTGCCCCAATCCATGAAACAAAAAAAGTACGGTCGTTCTCGCCGCTCTAAGTACCTTGATTAGCCATCTTTTTCAGTGCAATACTTTTTGTGAGGCTGATCGAGTCTATATTTATCCAGACCACACTATATCTTGGCCGATCTCTCTATTCGCCCCCCTCCACCCGGTAGAGAGGAAAACACGCTGCCGTCATACCGGCGCGTCATTCAGTGAACGGCAAGTTGTACAGAAACTTGTTGATATCTATGGACCACAGACAAATATGGGAGAACCGCGGTAATTGCCCGGTAAACTTTCCATGTATAAGTACCCATGTTGAGGTCCATCATTGAATTACATGAAACCTTGGGAATCGTGATCACGGAAGCAGAGCAGCCCGAACGATTTCACATAACCGAAGCAAAGACTAAGCAACAAGCTCGTTCTCCCCGCGATTTTCGCCCCAGCCCCCGACCCCCGACCCCCACCGACTATCGATCCGATCTCGAAAGAAGAACAGAAGAAGAACAGAAGAAGGAAATAAGAAAAGAGAAGAACAATGCCCCCCATGCACTGAGAGAAAAGAAAACAAAGACGGGTGCTCGAACCTCTCTAATCCTTACCCGCTCCGCATCCTCATTCTTCCTATATGAGACACGCACGGAGAAAGAAAAAAAGAAAGCAAATTAGTCTATTTTGGCGGACGGCAGATCTGATGGTAAAAAAAAGGAAGAAAGAGGGGACAAGCCCCCACACCCCAACGGAAGACGCAATGATGGTGGTGGGAAATATTGGCTTTGGGTAGCTCGTAGCGCCATCGAGCTTGGCACGCCATAGGGTATATGCCCCTGACTAGATGTGGCTGACCTTTGACGCCCTTCTGGGCTCTCTCTCTCTCTCCCTTTACACCTTGCTAACCTTCCCTCACAAACTCCTTCTTCTTCTCCTCCTCCTCCTCCTCCTCCTCGGGGACCCCTGACTAAGTTCCCAACTCTCACATATTAGAAAGCGAAAAACAACAACACGTGGGGTCATGCTCCCCATGATGAAGGATCGCCCTGTTTTGTTGTTCCCAAGTTAAAGTGATTAGCTTTTGAGTCCCTCGGGAGATCGGCACGCCGTGTTTCCCAAAGCGCAGCATGGGCTTCTTTTCTGAATAAAATGGAATTCTTGCGTAATGTGCGTCTTTTTTTGACAAGAAGGTTGGGGAAAGTAATGTAGGATGCACATGAAAGTGTTCAGGGCGTGATGATCACTTGAGGGTGGGGGTGGCACATCCGAACCCGCGTTTTTTTTCTTAGATGTTTGTTTTCTCCTCCTCATGCCCTTTTTTGCTTGTTTCTTTCTTGGTACGAGGTTAGGTTCGCAGGTGGACATGGTCATGAAGTGGGTTTCGGGGAGAGCCAGGAGATGGTCTGGAGGACGACGACGAAGAAGGGGAATTATGTTGATGAACCTTTTTTTTTTTTTTTTGCAAAGACGCTACTACAGGCGCGTTGTGAAGATGCAAGGAGCGCTCCGCTGTGCCGCCATAACAGTTGTACATCACGTCTTCTTTTCCTTTTCTTTTTTCTTGCGAGCGGGGGGAGCTCGCTCGCCGGCCATGTTTTGTATACAAGTGCTTAATCAAGTTTCTTCTGGGGTGGATTGGCGAAATAGTGACGCAGGGGGTACTTTGTGGCGAGAGGTGTCGACGTCCCATTCGCGAACGGGGCAGCGAGTCGTGCGCTATCGAACTGCGCTGGCAGCGACGCCGCTTTCGGCCAGCGACTAGAGCGCAATTAGCTTGAGGCACAAAAAAGTGAGTTGGGATTGGTAAGTCGGTCGCACCACTTGCTGGTGGGCAGCCTGGTCGGGCCACGAGAATGCTCTTGATTCGTGTGTAGCGCCACTCAGTTCTGCTGTCCCGATCGGGCGGCCGAGAGGAGACGCCGGTGAAACGTATGTACATGTCAATCTCCCGTCAAGCTGAGGGTGACTTTTTGCTTGCGGCTGATGCAAGCGTGCCTTTCTCTGCTTCTGCCACCCCGCTTCTTCCGCTTCCTAGACTATATTGTATGCTCATTCCCCTTCCAATCCCTACCAGCTCCCCCTCCGACTCCCACTGGTCCCCACTCCTTAGGACCCCCCCCCCCCCTTATGTCTACTCGGAAACATGTCGACTAATTCACGCAGTACCGGTGTCTACTCGGGCGAGTCGAGTGACTCGGAACCTTCAATGTTGCGTCAAATTGACATGGACATTGAGAAGAGCACCAAGGGCCCGTCTACACTGAGACGCAAGGGCTCGGCGTTGCAAACATCAGTCGAGGTTTTGAGATGTAGATTTGGAAAGTCTGGAGAGATACCGGAGAAGCTGGGGGATTTCAGACCATCCAAGGAGTGGACGCCCATTTTCTACTCGGTCTATCATCAGCGCGAGGCTGCCCTCTCGCACTTTCTTCGAGCTGGCGCGTCGCCGGACGACGTCACTGATATTGGGCAACCACCACTGTGCATTGCTGTTGCAAATGGATATGTTGAGATTGTAAAGATTCTCCTCGGTGCGGGCGCGGACATCAATGCTACGACTAGAGAGGGAGGAGAGACTGCACTGCACATTGCAGTCAAGAATGGCCGCGTCGATCTCATGGACCTGCTTCTATCACATGGACCCAACCTAGAACTCAAGACGCACACGACGGGCGAAACACCTCTTCACTATGCAGCAGCAAAGTCGGGATCACTGGCAGTAGTCATGAGCTTACTCCAGCATGGCGCCAGCTACAACACACTGAACGTCAATGCCCAGACACCAGCTGAAGCAGCTTTGAAAGCCAACAACATCAACGGAGCCGTCGCCATTATCAATGCAGCAAACACCAAACGAAACGAGCTCGCAAAAGAGAAGGAAATGCTGTTGAAGCATGTGCAAAAGACACAGGGTCGCTTCTCTATCGGCAACGACCTCATTGCCGACATCTTCGCTGCAGCCTGCGACCCTGAGTCGAACGTCCTTGTGGAAGCTATCAAGAGAAACGACGCGCTGTTGGTGGAGATGTTCCTTGAAAAGGGCTCCGATCCAGACCGCAAGACTGTTCGAGGACTGCAACCGATTTTTGTGGCTTTGTCATGTGCAGGAGCACCAGTCGTCAAGGCCATCCTCAAGCGCAACCCCGATCTTTCGGTCCGCGATGAGAAGGGAATGAGTGTGCTCCAGGCTGCCTTCGAATGCCCGTTGACAAAAGAGAAGGACACCATCCAAACCATCACTGAGGCTTTGATCGAGGAGGGTGCCGATGCCAAGGTTACCTACCCCGATGGAAAGACGCTACTTCATCACGCCGTGTCGCCGTCCTTCAGTCACATGAAGATTGCGCAGATGCTCATCGATGCAGGTGTTGAGGTCAATGCACAAGACAGCGAGGGCAACACTGCGCTTCATGTTGCGACGCACAGCAAGATGTGCATTGACATGCTGCTAAAGAACAAGGCGAACCCCCAACAATTCAACGCCAGAGGACTGACGCCATTGTTGTTTGCGACAACACAGTGCAAGAAGGAGAACGAGCCCGTGCTGGATTCCCTCATCAAGGTCTCCAACTTCCGCAAGACGAACGCACAGGGACAAACGCCTCTGCATCTCGCAGCTGCGAACGGTCTGGATAAGACTGTGCGCTTGCTGTTGAGAGCTCGTGCAGATCCTACCGCCATTGACAACAACAAGAATACGCCGCTTCTTCTCGCCGTCAAGAACCATCAGTGGTTGATTGCACCGATATTCGTTACCACACCGAGTGTCAACGCATGGGACAAGAACGGCTTCAGTGCACTGCACCATGTTGTCGCCAACTGTCCCAAGGCCCCGGCAACTTGGGAAAACATCGCTGCTGCTACCGTAGCTTTCTGTGAACGCGGCGTGAGCAGAAGCATTCGCGATCGATCTGGCGCCACGCCGCTCATACTCGCAGTCAAGACGCTTCCGGAGGAGGGTCTCCCCGTCATCGAAGCACTGTTGGCGCAAAAGGCGGGCGCGAAAGCGAGCTGGAACTTTGCCGACCACGAAGACCACAAGAAACGTGATGCGCTCTACTACGCCGCGACCATGGGCAAGCCGATATTCGTCGACGCACTGCTCAGGAACGGCGCTACGTTTGAGTTTGAAGAGTGGACTCCAAACAAGCACATGCTGCAGTCGTCGGAGGAAGTCAACAAGCAAATCTACAAGTCGTTTGCGCAGCAGGAATGGGTCCGTCGGACGGTCGTCCTGCGGGAGCAGCCCAAGAGCGCAGAGGATGAGGTATCGCCGTTCATGACGGTGATGTCAATCCGCGATCTCGAGATGATGATTTCCATGGGTCTAGACGTCAACAACCTGCCCAAGTCGCCGCTTGGAAAGTCCCTGCTGTGGGCTATTCTAAGGCACATCTCGCTGCAGCCCCCACTGGCACCAGAGTATCTTATTCAGGCTCTGAATGTGGTGCTGGATGCTGGTGCGGATCCCAATGCGAGCAGCAATAGGCATGCAAAGCGTACGTCTTGGCCCTGTCCTCAGCAAGGATTCACGGAACCTCCTCGTTTGACAATTCATCCTCTTACGTTTGTCCTGGAGGAATGCCCGGGTATCGATATCGAGGTTGTGAGATTGCTTCTTGCTCGAGATGCGAAGCCGGCGCTTGCTTCTGGTTTCTACAGGGGCCGTTTCCCGTTGCATTGTGCGGTTAAGGCGCGTCGTGCTGATGTTGTGGAGGAGTTGTTGCTGGAGAATGGTAACGTGGAGTGTGTTGATGACGCTGGACGCACACCTCTGTTCTTTGCTGCTGAAGCCGGGGATCTGGAGATTGTGACTACACTGCTCACTCGAGGTGCCAAGTTGGATGTCATTGACTCGGAGAAGAACACGCTCTTGCATGCCGCGGCACGGGGTGGCGGTGACAAGGTTGTTGCGGCTCTACTACGTGCGGGTGCAAAGCTGGGCGATAAGAATGCAAAGGGTCTTACGCCTCTGGCTTGTGTGCCTGAAGGTCTCGACGAGAAAGAGAAGGGCAAGATTCAAGATATGCTCAAGGGTGCTGAAAGGAGGGGGCTGGTAATGACAGAGGTGACAGTGAAGCCAGCTGAAGTGAAGCCGACTGAAGTAAAGACAGAGAAGCCTAAACCCGATGCAAGGCAAGAGGAAGAAAAAGCTGCCCGCGAAGCCAAAGCCAAGCAGATCTCCGAACAGCAACTCAAGCAGCGCATCCAAAAAGAACAACAGAAGGACCAAGAGAACCCCTCGAAACCCACTAAAGAAACTCCCATCGCCAAAGAACTCCCCATCACCAGAGAAACCCCAGCCGCCAAACCCCAGCCCCAAATCCAAGCCCACCCCATTCCCCAAGAAAAAACCCAACCCATCGTAACCGCCTCCTCCGTCCCCTCCCCTCCCCTCCGCAAACCCCGCTCAACCTCCATATTCCGCAAATCCTCCCTCTTCTTCACCCGCCACAAATCCGCCATCTTCCCCTCGGAGTCCGACACCACAACCTCCTCGCCTCCCCGCCAAAAACACACGCTCCTCAGCCTCCGCATCAGCGCCCCCTTCAAACAACGCAATTCAACCGGCGGCATGAGCGCGATCCCGCAATCACCCTCAACACCCAACATACTCAAAAGCCCGGATTTCTTTACTGGAGGCTTGTCCGCTTCTGCTTCCGCCGCCGCAGCCGCCGCCACTTCTTCTTCTACAAACCCCCGCTCGCCCTCCCCCTCGCAGCCAGACAGACCCGCCATGCCTGTTTCCTCAACAGCGATTCAAACGCGGCTTTTGTCCCCGAGAGCGGATAGTGGGCTTGGCCAGCGCAAGAGTACGGGAAAGGACTCGATTCTTGATTTGCAACTTGTGAATGAGAAGTTGAAGAGGGAGAGTAGGGTTGATGTGGAGGATGGGGAGAAGAAGGGTGAGAGTGAGTTTAGTGATTGGTTGAAGATGAGTGATATGTTGGAGAATTTGTAGACGTACAGTCTTTTCTTAGGTTTCTGTAGGAAGGGAATGTTGATGTTGTAGTGGAAGTATATAGCGCTCGTTCTCCTCCTTTTTCTTTCTGTTTCTTTCGTTTGTTTGTTAGCATGAATCTTTTCGATGGGCGTTGCGCATATAACTGGATTAAGGTTTTTTTTCGCTCTTTTTTCTTAGTTTCTTTAAGCGGTGGGGCGTATGAGATTCAGATGTATATATTGATACCCACGCTACATGTGGATGGGGAACTTTGGATGATGAAAGAAGAAGGGGGGAGTGTAGTATGTAGCCTTTTTCTTCTTCTATTTCCTTGTTTCGTTTCTTCCCTTGAGTCTTTAGACGGCGCTGGCTGTACGGGTCGAATTTTAAAGATTTAATACTGAAGTATAATTGGATTGTTATTTGAGTCAATATGGGTGTTGTCTGAGATTAGTTGCTTTGAGAAATTTGCTTTACCAATACCACTAATGATCATGAACAAGATATAATAGAAGCTACGATGTCTACAAGTACAGTGAGGTCTAACCGAGAGCGAAAGAGAATCACACACGAAGTGGACACTGGTTCATCGGTGCTAAAAGGCAAGGTCACAAGACTGAGCAATTTTGAGGCAGTAGAAGCTGCAGGAGTACTGTGAACGGCGCCTTTTGCACGCGTGTATTGAGCTAGGATAGTCTTCAATGGTGCTGATAATTTTTTTGTTAACCATGCTATTTGGGAATGACTTGCTTACTTTCATCTATGTTAGCGTTAGCAGTCTTTACAGCCTTGAGAGTCACAAGAGCCACCTTCTTGGCTAATTTAGGTACAATCATTAGCGAGTGCTACTTCACCTCAAACACAGCTACAATATAGTTCTACCCCGCCCATGACCGTAAGCCTTGGCATCTTACTTGATGCATCTAGTCACACGCATGTTATTAAGGCATACGATCAGCCACAACACAGATATGCGTTCCTTCTCCAATGACGAAAAAAAGGGTAAAGTCCAGTATTGCCAACTTTATTCAAGACTTGCAGGCCATGAATTAAAGTAACTACACACACTCGTTACGTTCACAGATGTATCGAGAGATTGTGGTTTGCCAGCCACTAAGATAATTACACGTATATCATCATAGCCTCGAAACAACTGTATGCAGTAAATATATTCAAGATTGGACAAAGTATGCAAGTAGAGGGATGTGTCCGTTTCTATGTAACTAATAACTACCTTGTGCAACTATATATTCGATTTTCAACTTACACCTAATGTAAAAGAGGGAGTAAAGCCATTCTCATTTCCTAATATAAAATCTATTATCCCGCTTTTCCAGCCTAGCATACCTGACTTGGATGCCTAACGATTACACATACTCTATACTTTACTCGATTGTTTCACTAGAGTTAACAAATTTCTCATAAGCAACATTATTAATGTAAGATTAAAGTAATTGCTTGTTAGCTAAAATAAATTAACGTAAGTTGTTAGCATTCCGTACTTAAACATAAACTCTGCAAACCCCGCCCCAATCCACAACCCAAACGATATACAACGTCCTTGTTCATACCAGGCACATTTCCACCCACGCAAGAGACACGGAACAGCCACCTATGATCATTGTTTCTCGGAGCCAATTGGCGAACCGCGTTATGTAGCACCGAAGACGTCCCTGTCTATTGGCAGCGACCAACACAGACTAAATTGGAGCGAGTATCGTGGTATAGAGTAGACTGTGGGGATGGAACACAAAGGTGCAGGTTCTCAAGGCCATTTCGGCTGAGAGGACATTTGTGGAATATGGTGCCATGGCACGACAGATCCCAAATGGTGCTGAGAATGGAGCGTTTCTTCGGCTTGGATTTTCTTTTTAAACGGGTTTGTTACGGTTTAGGGCTTTCTTGCCATAGCATGTAGGAACACTCTACATTTGGTAAGAGTATATACTGCGGATGATACGATAGCGCTGTCTACAGTCGCAAAGTTACACGTACTATGCGTGGTTTCATACAGTATAACCTCAACTCCATCCTTCAATATCTCGCACCTCTTAGTTACTTACAACCTAGCAAAACATCGCCACCATCATCTCGCCCCCTTTCCCCAGAGTGTTTGTCAACTATCAAACCCCCCTTACTACCATTGTATCACTAAACAACATACAGAAATCCAACTAAAAAACCAACATCTACCCACACCGCAGCACCACCATCTTTCTACTACTCCTCATCCTCACCCCTCCCCTTCTTCATTTCCCCTGCCTCCTCCCCCAACCAATCCCACACCCCCTCCAACCCCGTAAACTCGACAAACCCACCTTCCCTCCACGCATCCCCATGCACTTTCCTCCCCATCTCCTCATCCATGCCCTTCGCCATACCCCTCCCCCACCGACAATACACCCACACCTTCGTCAAAAGCCTCTCTCTATACCCTTCTTCGGCAAACTCCTCCTTTTCAAACACCACGTTCTTCGCGGTACTGTTGCCATCTTCCCAGCCTCCCTTCCGAAACACGACAACGCCGCGGAACATGATGATTTGAGTGAGTGCCTGATCGCCCTTGCTGCGGCGCAGCTCGGCTTTTGAGAGCGTGGCGCGCCGGGCTTGTTCGGTGGGGGTAAGTACGGAGGTTTGGTTGTGTGGGCATAGTTGCTGCATCTGCGTCAAGTTCGTGCATTGCATGCGGGTGGAGGTGTAGGTGTCTTCTTTAAAAGAGGGGGTGAAGCGGTAGAGTGTGTGTGGGTCAAGGCGCATGTGTAGGGAAAGGAGGGCGGCGCGAGTGGTGAGGATTAATAAGGGGGGAAGGAGGGATGGGAGGGTGGAGAGTGGGGTAGGATGGATGAGGGAGATGAGGGGGGTGAGGTGTGTGGTTAGTGCTGTGAGGATGATTTGGATGTGTGCTGTGAAGGAGGTAGGGGGGAGGGTGGTGGCGTTGTGAGTGAGGTTGTGGAGGGTCTGGGAGAAACAGGAGTGTCGGGTGAAGCCTGTTTTTGCATGTTAGCTATCATTTTCGATGTAATAGAATGAGAAAAAAGGAGAAAAAACTTACCATCCTCATCTTTCAATTCCCGCTCCAGAGCGGCAAAAGCATCCTTCTCTTCCTCGCCGAACCCGAAACACACGTTCTCAAATATCTGCTCTACAAGCACGTTGCCGATGACTCCGCATACAAGTGCCTGTCTCTTCTCCTCGTTAAGAAACAAGTCGTGCCATCCCCACTGGCCCGCTGGTCCACCACTCGCAACGCAGTGAACCACCTTGGCCGTCTGTGGCGTCATTTGCTCGTAGAATGATGCTGGAAGAATGCCGTCAGGCGCAGGGATACGGACCTCGCCAGTAAAGAACTCGCGACTGAAGCCCTGGATCAGAGAAACAAGGTGCGTAAGTGCATCCCGGATCTCAGCGTCGCGCATGGCGTATTCGGGCTCATGGAGGTCGGCGCAGATGGCGGATTTAGAGCCCAGTTCGCGGGCACGGAGATTGGGATCTGTGCTCCACTTTTGGCTCGACGACAAGGCGGACCAGTCTGGTGGAGTTGTCGATGCGGGTGTCTTGTTGGTTTTGGGACGACGGGTCTGCGGCGTTGGTTGGGTGATGGGAGGGGTAGGAAGAGAAGATGATGCAGTTTGCTTAAGAACACTGGTGGTTGTAGCATCATTCACTTCTTTAGACTTCTCCGCGGAACCCTTAGGGAGACCAGCTTGCTGTTCATGAGCAGCACGTTCTTTTTCTTTCTGTACCTTCTCGGCTTGCTCCATCAACAGCCTCGCCTTGGTTCTCAACTCTGCTGCTCTGAGTCGAGACTCAGGAGTGCCCGGTTCCAGACGCGAAGAGCCAAGTTTTCGAGTCAGTGATTTGCCAGTTCCGGAAAATGGAGGAGTGATTACGACCGTCTCTGTCATCGTCATAGTGCTGGATCCACCGTATTTTGCACTTGAAGGTGTACTGCTGCCGGATCCCCGGTCATCATCACTGAGGATGTCGCTCATGCCCTTGTGCTTGTGCACTGTGTTTTGTGATTGTTGGGCTGGCGAGCTAAATGGCCAGATGTTGAGAAAACTGCTCATTGGGTTGAAGGCCGCGGGAGAGTAGAAATGATTAGCGATATATGTCAGTTGAGCGGAAAATGCGCACGATTCTTTTGGCAAAGCGCGTACGCTTTATTTTGTTGCTCTTGTGTATGTGCTGTATGATTGCTTTATCTGTCGGTGTTTGGCCGCATGCGGCAGGCCATTGAAATCTGCGCCGAAATGGGCGTTGTGCTTGTCCTGCGGAAAATAACAAAGGAATTTAGGATGCCGCCCCCGCCAACTGCTATTCGTACAAAGAGAATTCAACTACCGAGATATGTTTTTTTTTGAAATAGGAAAAACAACATGTAGGAGACGCCTGCTTTACCTCGTAAAGAAGAAGAAAAATGATGATCAACCTGTACAGTAAAACAACGCGTTCTATACCTGGTGACCCCGATATTTGTGCGCCCCCATCGCCCCTTAGTAGAAGGAAAGTGCTTGCTACGCTATGCTATGTTAAGAGTATATACATTACACAAAGGAAACGCTAGATGATGATGATAATGAGCAAAGAAATTGCAATTGCTTTTTGACTACTTTTGAGGCGTCCAGTTCTTGTAGAGACATGAGCATAGCGTGCCCGCATCCTGGGCCTTGAGGCCAACACTGTCACCTGATGAACTCTTGCAGGATGGCACACCCTCACCACCAGCCACAGCTTGCTCGATGCGCACAGCTAGATACGGGGTTAGCATGTGAAAGTAGAAGCTAGACAATGAATCACGCTTACCAAATGGCCACTGGATGTTCGGGGTGTTCTTGACAGCGATTGTGTCATCAGGATAAGTGCGGAGCATCTTGGTGTATAGGAATGCCTGTATGTTTGTTGCGCTGTAATCACACTCGAAATCGCCCTTGCTGCCCCCAAGAGTACCGGTCATGTTTACGGTTTTTGAGCGAGAAATCTGGAACCGGTAGCGCTCCGTCTCTTGTCCTGGATCCAACAGCTCAAGGTTCTCATTCTGGAAGGTCGTATCAAATGTATCATCATGCCCTTTGGATGAGATTTTGTACGATCCCGAAGAACCGGCGATTTCCCAGTTGAGAACGGTAAGAGCCTTCTGCGGATCCGCATAGTAGTCTGTATTTGGGGCGCATGTCCAGGTGTTTTGGTTAGCGGTGCACTCTGGTGTGACAGTATCGAGGAAGACCGCAAGCGAGTAAGCGCCGACAGGAAAGTTGGGAGGAACAGAGGGTCGTGGGGCTGCAGGAGATGGGGCAGGAGGTTTGCCGGTTCCGGTCGGGGAATCGGCGCCGTTGTCTTGGTTGTGATTGTTGGTACCGGATGCGCTGCCTGCCGATTGAGAACCGTTTGCTGTATCTTGGGATGGGCTACTGTGTCATGCGTTAGTGCGTGTTGCTTTTTAATGGTGAACTACGGGTGACTGACCCAGAGTGCTTCTTCAAGCCCACTGATAAGCCAACGGCCAAAGCCACGATCAGCACTATCAAGATAGCAACGACCAAAGCCAGCTTCTTCCGTCCCCAGGCAAATATGCCCCTCCGTCTCTGTCTTACATGACCAAACTTCTCATCCTCCCTGTCGCTCCAAACACTAACACTGAGGTTGCTCCCATTGTTGGATCGATCCTCATTGGGCGTGCTTAATCTGCCGCCAGTCAAGGCGGAAAAGACACCCCCCTTCTTCCTCTCATTCTTGTGAACATGCAGCACGGGGCCTACGTGCTGATGCGATGGGTCGTTGCAAAATGTGCTCTCGGTGGTGACATTGATTTTGGCTGTGTTGGCGGGTGACTTTGTGAGCTTGTTGTCGAGGATGACGGAGAGTCGCTGGCCAGCGGGAGTTGAGATGCGCTTTGCTGGCCGGCCATCGTCAATGGGGAAGTGTGAGTTTGCGCGACTGGAGCGGAAGAAATTCATCGCATCGGAATGGCGGATACGTGTGTAGGAAGGTTATAGCGAGGGATCCGAAGGCCGGGCTTTTGGTCGAGGTGAGATTAACGGGCGGACCGGCTGGTTGGAGCGATGGCTGCCCCTTGGACTTCCTTGCCACTATGTATCGCTCTATACACCGGGGGCATAGGTTTGCGGATGGCAAGCAAGGCGGGTGAAGAGAGGTGGGTAGAAGTGAGCCAGGAGATGCTTGGGCATGGGACAAGGGCGTTGTCTCGGCTAGAAGGTGGATTCCGTCGAAAGCTTAACCGGGCTAACAATAGTGGACTTGACCGCGAAAGGACTCGAAACAGATGAGCCCTGCACTCCATCACGCACTAAGGACCGTTGCAGTATCGACGGCGGCCATGTGTGGTTAGAGCCTCAGGTCATGGCGTGTTCAATGACGGGGGATGGACTCTAGTGGAACTGCACGGCTCTGTCTCGGGAACGGGTGGTTGCGCATCACAGGTAACTCTAAGTATATTGAGGGTTAGTGACAGCGGTCGGCCTGAACGTGAGGACCAACAGCCACCCAGCCTTCTGCGGCCCAGACGCGCAGCTGTCACAGCGGAACACGCAGCTGCTCGTGGATATCACATGCTGAGTGTGCTTGGTCGGCGGCTAGAATGTTTGTTGTTGTGGTTCGGCAGTGACTGAGCCAAAAAGGGGGAGCGGAGCAGAGAGAGTAAGTCAGTGAGTAGCACGACTCGCTAAATCTCGCGTTCCTGCATGTGAGCAAGGAACACGCCTGCCGGTGGGGCTGCCAAGACATGCAACTCTGACCTTCACCCTCACCAACACCACGCGTCTTTTGCATGTTGCCACCATAACGGGCCACTGTCAGTGATGTCTAGTACACGCTTTGAAGACGCCATTCATTGCTGCTCACTCTCGCCGCGTGCTGTGTCTCTGCGCCCTTTTGCTGACTCTCGTAGACGTACCTGCCAGCTGCCCATAACGTTTGCATTTGACGCACCTTCCTGCCTTCACATCCTGCTGACTTCACCAACACCCCGCTAAACTTTTCCACCCCCACAATTTCTCACCTTACAGCCAGAAGTCAGCCCCCCAACAGCTACAAAGTACTGTGAATCCTGTCCATCAACTTGAGACTGCCACAATCATGACTCCTGGCCGAGTCGTCGTACGACTCCAGCCTGGTTGTTCCGACGGCGATCCGCTGCACGTTCCAGCCTCAGGCACGCACACCCAAATTAATCCTCCCACATTATACCTCGAGAAAATCGGTCAATTATGGATGGAGCAGTGTGGAAGCGCCCAGTCGGGAGTGCATTACATTCTCGAAGCTCTCCCCACAGGCTATACCATGTGGCAGAGGCCACGGCCCTCAGATCCCAAATGCTTCGACAAGTATCTGTTTGGACACCCCAGCCACAAGAAATTTGATTCTCCAAACCGGTTCTTTCCCCACTTCGGATATCTCATGAACAATGGCGGCAACAGCATAGGATGTCCCTGTACTGTTTGTCGCGGCCCTCCCCGCGCTATGTCCAACAGCTCCCGCCCCAGAAGTTCTGCTAGCTCATCCAATGTTTCAGCTTCTGCATCTTTTTCGAGTCGACCCAACAGCGCCCACCGCGTCCAGCCAACTCCGGTCCCACCCCTGGTTATAATCTCGCAACCTGCAGCTCAAGGAAGGCCCAAAAAGCTAAGCCCTGGCCTCGATATGACCAGAACAGATCAGGATGGTACACCCGACGTCTATCGGAACCTAGTTGAAAAGCTCCGAAGCCACAAATGCATTGATCAGCCCATCCAAGAGCCTTTGAGTCCTGATTGGCGAGCGGAACAGGAGAGCATCCCGAAGCTACTGCAAACCCTCAGATCACAAGACCAATGGATTCCTCGTAATGGAGACATTATCATGTTCATCCGCCATCTGGCTGATGGAGTCGCTGTCACAAGACATGACATTACCAACGAGTTGTGCTTGTATGATGAGCAGACGGATGAGTTTCTTGACGTCCCACGCTGGGAGGCTGGTCTAGTAACAGAGGTGGCCCAAACGCCGACCACTGACCTCTTAGACTCAACCAAGAATTCCAACGGGTCGTGCTCGGACATGAGAGTAGAACTCATTCCCCACCCAAACAACCCTGATAAATCGCTTTCGAAGCGGTACAAGTACATCTCATTGCGACAAAGTCGTCCTTTCTTTCTTTGGAAAGAGCTTCTTCATCATGTAGATCAAGACCTTTGGCACCCAAGCATCAAGAATGCTCTAGCTTTGACCTCAACCCTCTCACTTATGGGAAAGCATCGCTTTCGAGGAACATGGCCAGAGGCGACGATATACTGCCATGGCATCTTTGTCGGCTCAGAAATGCTGGCTGTCGGTGACACCGTCCGTCTTCTTCCAACCAAGTCCGATCAGGCTGTGTGCACCGACATCATGAGCATCAAGTCTATCAGGCTAAAATGGTCGAATTTGGACAAGGCCTCGACCGACGACTACGATGAAGGACGACCCTTCAACTCGGCAATCTGGTTATATGGTTGCGCCTACACGAGCGATGCTTCTAGGTCAGACAAACGATGGGTTTCTGATGCTCCGATCCCTAGAGCAGCCCAAGACTATGGAGATTTCTATCCTCTTCATCCGCCAGACAAGGAGCTCGCCATCCCCTACGCTCGTGTCGCCGGCCGCTTGCACGAGCGCAATGCCATGGCACAACTTCTCGGATACGATTCTGACGATATTGTAACACTTAGCCTCGACCTTGGTCGACGGGCTTTGATTGATGCGCGTGCATTTTCGCGAAAAAATAACGAACGCATCTCACAAACTGCCGATGCTACCTGGTACTGGGGTGATGATCGGGCCGAGGCATTGGGTCTGCGCACTATCAACGGGCTGGATGTTTCTAGGTTCAACCAGGAACACGATGTCAAGGCGCTCCGTAAGCAATACCGTATTCTGGATGCAGCGAATGCGAACGAGGATGAGAGCGAGGATGTGAAGCCCAGTCTTGATAATGCGTTCGGTGGTCGATTACAGCGTTTCATGGCACCTACACTGCCAGTCCGGGCGGCCAAGCCAAGAGAATCTGGCCACAACAAACATGATGGCAAGAAACGAGGTCGGGTTGTTGACCTGGAAGATGATTTCGAAGACGAGATCCGCCAGCACACACAGGTCATCAACCGTCAGGTGCCTTCGGTCAAAAAGACAAAAGTCATGGTCGTTATTGACTGAACAAAAGTATTTCCAAGCTGGGTATTTCCATACTCTACCAGCATCACGATGGAATCCAGAAGCAAGGTAATCCTTGTTGTGAAAGCAGATTCGACATAGCATCTTCCCCAGCTTCTCTGATCACGCACGCACGTGGTTTCAAGGAAAAAAGAAATCTCCGATGCGGAGAAGACGACTGAGTGTTTATATGATTAGCTAGCGGGGATGTGCACGGTATCGCTGCCACGTGCTTCTATTTGAAGCTACACTTGGCGAGAATATCATGTAACTAAAAATGGGGAATCAGTAGGCAGAGAGTAGTGGTAATGAAATATATAGATTTAAAAGAATCTTCTCATGTTTATAGAAAGCTTTGTGACGTATCCTTGAATCGTATGTTATCTCCATGGCAAGGGCATCGCAAGGAACATGTCAAGCACCACCAGAAACACATCAATCATGGCCTGCACATCCAAGTATATGACCATGTATACATATATATGCAACTTGTATGTATATACTGTATATACCCTGGGTATCAATCAATCAATTTCTCTCCCTCCCTCCCCCTGCCTCCACGTTATCTGATAATTTTTCTCTAATATAATCATCACGCTATACCCATATCATCCCGACATGAACGAGAGACGGCAGGAGAATGTATCCTTGGAAAAGAAAAGAAAAGAAAACGCCGGTTATAATGCAAGTCTATCGTGATGCGTTGCGTGAGCCAAGATGCGAAAAAAAAGGACGATGATGTGGCTAAAAATGTCGAGTCATGAAACGATTGTGATCGTTGAGCAAACAAAAGGAAAAAAAATGAGGAAAAAACGAAATTATTTCTCTGCATCAGCAAGTGCATCGCCGAGGGCGTCGGCGTCGTAGTCTTGTACTACGACTTTTGTGGGAGTTTCGGGTGCGTCGCCGAAGACACCCCAGATGGGACCGCTTTGGTTGACGCCGCTGGCTCTCGCCTTGGCCTTATCTTTGGTCTTCTTGGAGCTCTCGGAGCCTTCCTTGGAGGAACCCGTGTCGGCGCTCGATTGCGTTTGCTGGCTCAAGACGGATGGGGGACGAGTAGCAGACTCGGAGGGAGGAGCGGGAGTAGCGCCCCACTTGCCAAAGACCCAGCCGCCTACTTTCTGCGTGATGCCAGGGCTGGTGTTGGGTTGGTGGCCATCGCTCTTGCGGGGGCCTCGCTTCTGGTTCGCAATGCTGAGCATGGTGCGGCTGAGCATGCTGCCATCAGTTGCCTTGCTCGACAATGTGCCGTACGCAGTGGCGCCCCACGCAACTTCTGGTCCGACAGATCCAGCAAGGCCGACATCTGCAAAGCGTGGAGATGAGTACATGAGCTGCGAGGGTCGTGACTGTAGCGTATGGATATCCATGCCGGAAATCGAAATGAGAGATGAGTGCGAGGCGTGGCGGTGTAGCGAAGGACGCATGGCGGAAATGGGCGACACGAGCTCGTCAGGCTCAAACTCGGCAGAGTTGGCGATAGATGGTTCGGCCGTTGACAGAGAAGCCTCTTCGCACTCCTCGGGGATTGCGGCTTGAGGCTCCGTCTGCATAGCGGGCGAGAGGGAGAAACTATCATTTGTAAAGGAATTTGCGGGACTGACAGCCGAGATGACGGCGCTAGCGGGGCTGCTCTTGGTAGTAAAGGAGATGGGTGTGCTGGAACTGCGCATGTTGGATAGGCTCGGAGGCATGAGACCACGAGACTTGCGGCGCGAATGCCTGACGACGTTCTTGCCTTGATCGAGCGTGCCTGAGCGTCTTCGACCGAGAGATGGCACAACGTCATGATCTGAGCTGTAGTCATTTGATTTAGAAGGGCCGAACATGGGGGAGCAAATGGAGTCTGGAGGGCTGGTTGGGCGTGAAGAGTCGTATGCCTCGCTAAAGACACGATCGTACATGGATCCGCGACGCGAGTCGGAGACAGGCGAGCCCGCAAATGAGCCCGGGCCCAGAGTGGAGGCTTGAGACCATCGATGCGAGTTTGGCACTGTGACGGCAGTCTGGTTCAGGATGGCAGCGGTGGAGGAGCGCTCGAGCGTTGGCGGTGGGTCGAAGTGAGTGGGAGTCAGAGTAAATCGCTTCTTCTTGGACCTTCCCCGGGCCGGTCCCTTTGATAGATTTCTGGGCGTCTTCGGGCCGTGGAAGTGGTGGTGGATGTGCAGTTCTTGGCTGAGCGATTCCTGTTCCATTTCGAGTTCCTTTTGTAGCGTTGGACTGGTGATTTCTCCGGATTGCGAGGGTGACATTGGCTGGTGATCCCTGAGCTGGTCTCGAAGACGCTCTACCTCTTCATTTGAGTTGCCGAGCATTTCGCGTAGTTCCATGATACCGTGTTGTAGATTTGCGTTGTCCAGTAGAATATCCTTTACGAAGTGAGAGACGACACCGTTGCCGCCCTTGTCGTGGCCTGCCTTTGCCTTGAGCCGGGTTGCGGCAGAGTTGAGTTCGCTTTCGACGGCCATGCGACGTTCCATGCGGGCGACGACCTCGTGGTGTCGCTGGCGTTCGGCTCGGGATTCCTTTTCGATACGGTCAATTTGGTCCTGGAGGTCTCCAATGGTGCGCTCGGCCGCCTTCCATCGCTGGATGGCAGTCCGTTCGTCGACGAGTTTGGCATCGAGGCTGCGCTGAAGCTGAGACTGTTCTTTTTCGAGATCGATGAGCTGCTTCTCGAGCAACTGGGTTCGTGCAGCCAGGGAGCCGAGGCGCCCGATTTCGTCTTCGGTCGATCGCAGCGTGTCCTCGAGGGCTTGGATGTGGGCGTCGGACTCGGCAACGGTGTTGTTCAACTGTTCGAGCTGGTCGAGGAGGTCGCGGTTGGTCTTGATAGACTGGGCATTCTGCGTCTCGAGCTGCCTCTTGTCCCGCTCGAGATTCTCAATCGTGGCAATCATTTCTCTACGCTCGCGCTCCGAGTCGGCTACATAGGCCTCGTGGCGGACTAGGAGAGCCTGCAGGGCAAAAGTTAGCGGCAGGCGCGGGCAGTGGCCAGTGATGGCAAGGTGATGGGCGCACATACTTGGCCGAGTTGAGCAGCCTTGGAAACGTCTCTTTCTAAACCTTCGAGCAGGCGACCGTTGTAAGCCAGGAAAGCACAATCATGGTTTCCGCAGCAGCAGCGAGGCGGGCCTGGAATGCCACTTAAGCCAAGGCCGACGGCGTCCATGGATGCGACCCCTCCTCTCTGTTTTGGCGTAAACACGGGCGCTGGTTATCAATACTGTTTGGTTAATAATAGTAAAGCCGGTTGAGTGGATGTCGTCGGCGGCGCCACTGCAGTGCCGGGAGATTTGGGTTACCGGGAAGAGTGGAGAGCAATAAAGGGGGAGCGAGGAAAAAAAGAACAAAAAGTTATGGATAGGGAATGGATGAGCCGTCTGGCACGGCGCGTGGTGTTATTGTGTTCCTGACTGACTATCGGCAGCGTCCCCACTAGCCCAGGTGTCCCTGCCAGCACAGCAATTCCCCGCCCAACGCCAGCCACCGCCTTTTGCGCCCGCCGTCTGCCTCGCACTCGCCGCAGTGCTGCCAGAGACGTGTATCGTGTAGGCGGCGCACACGCCCACGCACCCACCATGGCCACTCTTGCGCCCCTCGCGATCCGCCTGGAGTCGTGAAACCGCATCATCATCGTCATCATGCTCGCAATAGGCAGCCCGACACCGCCAATGCCGCTAACGCGACTCCCCCTGCACAAACTCTGAGATTGCCGGCGCCAATGCTACTCCCAATAACCTCGCAAAATTAGACCCAAAACAAACATGCTGCCTCTTGGCAGGCTGCCCCTTCAAAGCACACGACGACGGAGACATGCGACAGAGGGCGAGCAATGCAATGTCTCGAGGGCAGATAAAGGCAGGTAATAGGCCGTGTGAGTTGCAGCGAGAACAAAGTTGCATCTCATCCCATCTCTGACCGTCTATTTCGTCTCAACACCACGCGGCCAATGAGATGGCGTTTTGGCGGGCCTCACCGAAACTTGCCAAAAGCAGACTGCCCACCAATCCGGCCTTCAATGCGCTCCAACAGGTGCGCGAAAAAGCAGGGTCTGCCACCGTCAGGGCGCGGCCCTATCAGCACCCAGCCAGACATGCTCACACAAAGCCCACCCCGCCATCACCAAGGCCAGACCAACTTGCCCAGAACCCTTCGCTCCCATCCATCAACCTCCTTCACCATCTCCGTGAGGCTCGACCTGTAGTACGCTACACAGTATATGCTGGCCTGGGGCTCATGGCGATTGTCGAGTCTACCTTTTGGTTCCACGTTCTGCGGGCCAAGTTCTTCCCTCGAACCACCCAAGCAGACCGGCAGCAAGATGACGAACTATTGAACAGTTTCAAGAGCGCCATCACTGGCTTCCGACAGGTGTGGATGGGCAACTACCAAAGGTATTATGGAGCCCATCTATGGGGTCTGGGCTATGGAGGGTTGGACGGCCTAGAAGACACTGACAGCTTGTCAGTCTGATGCGTCCATGACAACTTGACATGTGTGATTCAAACCAAGTGCGGTACGGTCGAGTATTCGGCGCGTGTAGGTACGCGTTGACATTGCACGTGTCGACCTGTCATGTGAAAGGCCGAGCACATACGCTTTGTATTATACCAGATACTCCTTCTCCATTGGGATCCCACTATAGTCAGGGATGCCGTTTTAACAACTCGAAACAGACCGTTCAAACAAAAAAAACCGTTCAAAACACACCGTACAAACCAGCAGGCCCTCTACGTACATGCACACGACCAACCTCCCAATCCAGCCCACCACATACATACACCCACATCATTCCCGCTCAAACACCTCAGACCTACTTACCCGCCCCACGCACCATGCAGCCCCTCCCGCCCCAACCCTCGCTGCTCGAATTCAGCATCTACATCTCTCACCGCCCTATCCCAAACAGGAATAGCCTGCCGGCAGATTCCCTTCGCCTCATCCCCTCCTGACGTGTAACCAGCCCGCCAAGACGCGACAACCAAACCGACGCACCGAACACACGTTGTCCCCGACCCCACTTTCTCGCCCGCCCGCTTGCCGTCCGCTTACTTACGTGGAGTCATAACTACGAGTACAAGCTTGTGTTTCAGAACAGCATGGCATATGCGCGTGACGACACTCGGTTGCGGATGACGAAGTGAGTGAGGCGTGCTGAGGTGGGGGGATGCTGTGAAACGTACGGTCTGGCGACGTGGTGCGAGGCAAGAGTGCGAGTGTGGGGTTGGGGGATTTGTTCGAGAACGTTTGGGTGGGTACGAGGGGTGCTCGGGTTGGTGACAGCGGAGGGTGTGGGTGACTGGCGGCCCGTCGTGAAGTACCAGAGGGGGTATGCTGAGGTGCTTTGAATGGTATCACGTCATACGTTCTGCGGATATGGCCTTATTGTGGCCGTGGAGGATGTAGCAAAGGTTCTTGTAGGCAACTTGGATTTACCGCTTTCTGTATGTGGTATTATAGTCAAAAGATGGATAGCTGATGGGCTTGGTAGAGGGAATACTAATACTTCACCTCGTACTACGTACTCTCAAGCATGCATATAATCAAGCACCACCATATCTCACTATATATCCTTCGAAAAAAGAACAAATCGCCAACTTCCTTCGCCATATCCAGTCCGTTGATCTCGATTAATCACGGCCTGCACCCCCGTTTGCGCATTCTGGTGCCAGTCACGTGACTTCACGCCGGCTGAGTGGCTTGAACAAATGTTAATAGCGCAATGAGTAAATCATGTCGTTGCTCGAGGTTTTTGCATTAGTGAGTTATCTAATATCATGAGATATACTCTGCTATCGTGGATTGTCCGGCCATTCACTTTTCGTATGTCGAAGTGAGGTGCTGAAAGTTCCCGGGGG